TACCTGATGAATTGGCTGCTGCTATACAGAAATTGCTGGTAGATGAAGTTGATGAGATGTATTGAAAGTAAATTGGTTTTGGGTCTAGTTATCAAATATTCTTCGCCACTATTCTTTCAATACCATCTCTCTCATATTGAATGGAATTTGTAACCTCTTTGAATAATGATGAATTGAGGACTCGAAATTTCAATACTTAAAATAAGCCTTTGGCTCTGTTTAATCAACAACAATAAAAAGAAAGAACAGAAACAACCAAAAAAAAAATAATAACAATAATTTTTCATCCCTATATAATTCATTTTCATGTCCTGATAATGGAGCGAGTTCACACATGACCAACTTGGAGTCCCTGTTGCTCTTACACAGCTCAGGTAACATATACATTAAATTGACCAGTTTGGAGTCCACTCACACTTAGAAGTATTTTTGCACTCAGAGATACTCGAAAGAAACTATATTTCATTAAAAGGGGAGTTCAGGTACAAGAATTTTTACCCGAGCTCTAGGGCTCAGGATAGTACATTCACAGTTCAAAAAGGGAAAAGACTAAGTTACAAATATAAAGAGCAAACTACTTCGGGGGCTCGCCGCCTCTATCAGGGACCCCCTCGGGGACAGTATCTGGACCGGCATCCTCTGCTCCATCTTCGGCACCCTCATCCTCGGAATCGGGGTCATTTTTTGATTGACGCACGATGTCGTCAGTAATCCGCGAAGTAGTAATGGCGCTCGTGTCCAGCTCGGGGTAGAGGTGCCTGATCAGCCACCGACTGAGTTTGAAGCCCTTACGGTAGGCCTCCGTCATCACATCATCGAATCTCGAAGAGTTGACGTAGTCAATGACGACCTGGGTCTTGGCCTCCTCGAGAGCACTCTCGAAGATTGCAGTCTTCTCCGTTATGTCCTCCTAGAGGTACCCCACTTCATGCTCCAGATTCCCCTTCGCCTCCTTGAGGCCTTGTACCTCGAGCCTCAGGGCATCCCACTCAGCCTTGAGGCTGCTCACCTCGAGCCCTAAGGCCTCCTGACCGACCTTGAGACCGTTCACTTCGGCCCTCAACTTATCTTTGTCTCGAGCCAGCTCCCCCTTCTCTGACACTAACACCTCGATGAAACTCTTTTGAGCCGAGGCGTCACTCTCCAAGCGGTGAACCTGACAACGAGCTGCCCTCAACTCAGTATGGGTCGCGCGAGATGATTTCTCAGCCTCCAGAGCCCGCCTCAGATGTCGATCTGATTGGAGGGTCAAGGCGCGAATGGCGGAGTTCACCTGAAAAAAGGAGAACCGATTAAGAGGGAGACCAGCAAAAAAAAAAGAAAAGAAAAGAAAAGAAAAGAAGAAAAAGAAAAAAAGGAAGGGGAACTCACCACCATAGTATGAGTGGCAGCTCGGGCGCCGAGCTGACCAGGAGTGAGTTTGGCCCACTCGCTGACCTCCCCCGAGTATCCAGCCAGCTTACTCTTCTTCAGGCTACACTGGGGGTTCAGGACGGTTTGGCTCCCCTGACCCTCCGAACTGGAAGTCGTCATCTCCACATCGTTAGTAGAACTCTCGGAGGCCTCGGCGGCAGCTTCGGCAGGATGAGCCCCGGCAGCAGCAGTGTTGGCCTCGACAACGATTTCTCTGGCAAGTCTGGTGGGCTCGGTAGTAGGCTCGGTGGGCTTAACGGTAGGTTCCGCCATCACCTCAGGCCCTTTAGGCACAGCCCCCTCTTCCAACTCGATGACGGGCGCGGCTACCACCTCGGGCCCCGAGGCAGAAGTCTGCGGAAGTTGAGGCTCGGCTGAAGCTTGCGGGGACCCAACGCGCGCCTTCTTTGCCACGCGTTTCTTCCTCTTCATCTGGTGGAAGAGCTTCTGGTTGTCTATTTTCTCCGCCTCCATGGGACCTGCAGTGAAACACGACATCAGCAACCCGAAGCAAATATATGAACGGAAAGCCGAAGTGGGGAAAACCTACCCGGACTCAAGCTCGCTCAGACGAGCTTCTCCTCAGAAGTGAAGTCCTTATAATGCAACCCGAGCAGAGCCAGTGACTGGAGCTCCTTCTTGGTCTTCCCGTCCAGGATGACACCAGAGTCTTGAACGGCTATCCTCCAATCGGTAGGGAAGGGCCACCCCGTACTGCTCCAAACTACGAAGTAGTCCCGCTTCCAAGCTAGGACTTTGCTCGGGAGCTTGTGCATGAGTTTGAAACCCGGGCGGGGGGACAGGTAATAGGACCGCCTATGCCCGGGGAGAGCGCCCGAAGCGCTCTTCTTTATAGCCAGAATTGTACTAAGAACATCTAAATCTATAGAGAGAGAACGGTCAAAGCAAAGAGAAATGGACCCCACCACATTCCGTATGGAGTTCGGATGGAGTTGGTCCAGGGTGATGTTAAAGTGTACCAACACCTCAACGATCAAAGGGTGAAAGGGAAGTCTGAGCCCGACTATCAGTTGTTCCCTGAAAATCACGATCTCGTTGGGACCGTGCTCCCATGGGAAGTTTCCGGTGGGAAGACTATATGAGTACTCCTTAGGGAGGCGGAACCTCTGTATGAGGTCCTAGACCCTCTTCGAGGTCATTATGGAAGGCCCGAACAGATCTGGCTCCCGACCTCGGTTGGAGGTGGACACCAGATGACCCGAAGCCACCCGTACTTCGAATGGCTGGGCCATAGAGGAGACACCCCGAGCCGAGGTATCTACCTCGGGCTCATCGATGAGACTATCTACACTAGACGACATACCGAACTAAAAGAAAGAAACAAACTAGAAGGGAAAAGGAAGCTCGGGAGGACTCACCAAAGAAACGCAACCGGACTGGAAGAACAGAACGAACTGGAGGACCCGAGCAAATCCCTGGCGCGAGCTCAAACGCTAACAACGAAAGATTTGTGGTGAAGAAAATGGCCAAGGGACCCCCTATTTATAGCCGCAACCGCGGGTTCATCGAGGCGAAAACGATTTAGCGCGTTTTTTATGTCCGCGAAGTTCAAGTCGCGTGAAGTTCGCGCGTTATCTGGACACGACTCGAATCTTTTTTTGGTCGAACCGGGCGCTAGACCGGTACACCTAGACGAAGCGTGCGACAAAGCGGCATAAATACCGACGCCAAATCCACCCGACGCGTCACGACCTCCCCGCGCTGGGTCACCGTCGCCAGCGTAGGGAGTGGGGGGCAATAGATGGAGAATGATTTGGCCCGACCTCGTAGCACAGGTACACGTGGGCGTGACCTTGCTCAAATAGTGACTCAGTGTGACAGCGCAACGAACGTGAGCACGACTCGGAGGGAAAGTCCCGCCGAGTTCAGCACGGAAACTCGACAGGTAAACTACTCGCCGAAAGCCGCCTTGCCCGCACCTCCTCCCCGGGTTAAGGCACTTCGAGGGGTCCCGAGTTCGGGGCACCCTGACCTCTTTTGAGACCCGAGCTCCTCCCAATGGACCTTGGGTCACTCCCAAGCAAGAACGCACCGATTCTTCTCCGGACGCCTTGAGGCACAAACACCTTGGGTCGACTAGCTCGGCATAACTGGCCACAGGCGGCCCGTCACTCAAAGGACAGCCTAGCTCAGGGTAATTCACAGGAGAGCAGTTCGGTATACCACAGGAGGGCCTCCTGCCCGACCGCCGTACCCGACAAACCTGTGGACAACAGGCATGTCCCCCTCGCCGCGCCTGCCACCTTTAGAAAGGCATCCCACACCTGACAGACACGTACCCTACAATGACGGCCCCGTGCGTGCCACCTCAGCCCTACCTGTAACGGCTGTGCAGGTTGACAGTGGCGGTTATACCTGCCCTGTCAGAAGTCAGAAGGCCTGAAGCAACAGAATTCAGTTATAAGGGGCTTATTCTCAAGGAACAAGGTATCTTCAATCACTCGCGCAACCTGCACTCTTAGCCTTCGTTTTCCTTCAGCTTCTTGCACACAATACTAACTTAAGCATCGGAGCGTTCCTGCCAGGAAACCCCCCCGGAGTTCTTCCTCTTTCCTCTCGTTTCAGGTACCTCTCAGGAGCCACGTGAGTACCAGCTAGGAGTGACTGGATTGCGCTACATCATTTGGCGCCGTCTGTGGGAAACGCTTCAAAAGGCCTTTCTCTCTAAACTCTTTTAGTTCAAAAGGCCTTTCTGGCAAACATAAAAACCTCCCCTATAGTTTCATTTTAACAAAAATCACCCCTCTATTTTTGATAAAATTAACAAATACCTCCCTTCCATCAATGACCAAGACGGAAAACGTTAAAGAGATGATCATTTTTTCAAATGCCTATTTTACCCTTTGTCGAATACTGTTCATCTTCTTCCCCTCTCAGACCCAAAAGCAGAGGCAGTGGCTGCACCCCTCTAAATCCAATCTCTTCCTCTTCTCTCATCTTCTTCGGCTTCTTATTCTTTTCCGTTCTTCTTATTCTTGTTTTTCTTCTTCTTCTTCTTCTTCTTCTTCTTCTTCTTCTTCTTCTTCTTCTTCTTCTAGCATTGTCCCCTTCCATCACCCATGTTTTCTACCACCGTTGTTGCAACTCTCAGTAATGGCGGTGCTTCATGCGAAACCTCTCCCTCTCGATCTCTCTTTCCTATTACCCCTCTCCACCTCAACATAAATAAATTGAAAATGCACTATTCCTCCCCTTCCCCGTTCAAACCCAAAAGTAGAGTAGCGGCGGCGGCACCCCCTCTCAGCCACTCCCTTCCTCCCCCTCTCCCTTTCTTTCATTTTCTTCTTCTTCTTCTAGTTAGTTGGAAATACCCCCCGTTCAACAACCACTCAACATGCATCTCCTAGACTCCCACCAACCATGCATCTTTGTTTTCTTGTGTATGTGTGTTTGTCCCAGCTCCAATAGGAAAGAGTGCAAAAACAAATATATATGTAGAGTGCAAAACCTTGTATTTTGTATTATTTTCTATCTATTTGCACTATACATATTTGTATTTCTACTCTTTCCAAACTAAGCCTAAAATGAAGAAAAATACAAGCAAAATAGAACATTTGTGACACACATTGGTGGCAAACAGCATGCAAGATTCTACTAAATATTTAATATTCATACATTCAGATGTTAAACAGTGCTTCTACACATTTATTCACTACACACCAACTTCAACAAGCCTTTCTTCAATTTATTATATTAAAAATGACATACATCCTCCTTTAATAGATATCTGACGAGGAGTTCATCTGGAGCCTCTTTTATTTATGATAGTTACTCTTGTGGAATCTCCATATATATTCCTACAAGGAAAATTAGAATATTAGCGTAAGTATAGGAAAAACATAATAAGTGAAATGCAATGGCCCCAGCCAAATAAAACCATTATGTTCATTGTTTAAAAAATTTCCTATCTGGCTCAACTTATGCTTAGTTTAGTTAGGAACGGCAATTTTCCCCATTTCTCAAATCCCTACAATAACCGATGGGGAGTGGCACCCCACCCCCGCCATACCCCGTTGCCATTTCTAGGCTTAGTTGAAGTTAATCATCATCAAATCAAAAGCCCAACATTATAATATTGAAACTCAATAAAAGTGGTTATAAAATTTGGAAGTTAGAAACTCAACCAACCTTGATATAAAGCCGGTCTTCATACTAAACACGCTGCAGAGGCATGGGATTTTGAGTGGAACTAGACGTAGAAGACGAAGAGGAATATTTGGTGGGATAGTTAACATATGCATTGATGTAACATAATCCATATGGCAAATAATGGTTTCTTTCCATAAGAACATATCCTGACATGCCCCAATCAGTTCCCCATGAGTTCTTTACTATCCAATAGTCGGTGCCATCACTCGAGGTTCCATAACCCACAATCAGAACTATATGATTACTCTGTGGTGTTGGACTTGTTGGGCAGCTTGGTCCTTTGTAGATACCCTAATTGATCAACTTGTATATGTTAATCATTCAAATTGATTAATTTATGATCATTAAACAAAAGTTTCCCTTCATAAAGATAAGTCTTTATGCAAAGCAAATGAAAAAGACATGCAAGAAGAGAAAATGTCAGGTTATCGCAGTATTACTTCTCTCTAATTTATTAAGTATTAAAGCCTTCAAAATATATAGTTTCCAGTAGTAGACCTACTCCTGCATAATCTTTAAAATCATCTAGAGCTAAAATCGCTACACTGACAGGTTGTTGATAAACTGCACAAAGAATGGACTCTTCATCCCTAGCAACCCATTCGTAGCCATCAATTGTTACTACGTTGCCCTGGCCAAAAAATAGCAAAAAGAAAGGAGTTATGAACTTATTATAAACCATTCCTTGAGGTATTTGCCAAAAAGTAATTAAAATTTTTCATAATATTAGAATCAAACACCAAAGTGATGGTTTTTCATTTTTAATCTCTCTCTCCCTTTTTCACACACACACACACGTTTTGAAACAACAATACAACATTAGTAAGAAAAACAATAGATAATTGAAAAGAAAGCTAACCACATTGTTGTTGCAATTCCCTTGTATTCCATTGTAGTGATAATAGTCTTCACTCGTAATGCCCCCATTATTGATGACCCACTGGAAAGCATTTGCCGATGTACCAAATTTACAACCATAATTTGTGGAAACACAATCCACTAATTGTTGTTCTGATAAACTTGTAAGGTTTCCAGTAGCAATATAATTTATTGCTTCTACCGCTCCTGTTGCTGAGAAAGCCCAACAGCTCCCTACCCCAAAAACATCCAAGATTAATTACCTAAGTAAAAGTGCAATTTAGAAGTAATATTGGATGAAATGCAATTACGTTTCTAACAACTCCAGCACCCTTCATGAGTAAATTGTAATATATAATAAACAAATGTATATACTAACCACAACTTGCTTGTTGTTTGACATTGGTTACTGCTCCTTGATATCTCCAATCAAATGATTGGGGACGAATGCATGAAGTCTTTACCCTCTTTATTGATGTTTCAACCGGTATGAATTGTGTAGCATTCATGTTGAGAAGATAAGTTTCACTAAACTCCTTAAAACTCATATCGGAAAACTGGTTGAGTCCCAAAATATGATCTGATGGCCCTCGCTTGGAGTTCCAATCTATTATATGGGCTAGCTTACTTTGAAATGTCTTGAATCGTCTCTCCTTCTCTTCTGGGCTTGCATAAAGCTTGCCATGTTTCTGCATCCATCGCTCAAAGACCAAAGCAATTCCTTCATCTAAGGTTATATCATCAGGATCATAACCCAAAATGGAGTATTGAGTGGGAGAGCCTAAATTAAAGTTGAACAGGGATAACACCACCAAGCAGACAACTATCAAGTTATTTTTTAAGCTACCCATTGTTGCACCCTTGTGTGGAAGTATAATGACAATGTTTAACTGACGAATGGATTTTGTTATCGCAACTATTGTTATATATAAAACAATGGGACTAGTAGGTAGGAACCGATGATGAGGATAGGAGGGTATCTACATTTGAAATCATTGCAACGAGTTGTTGGGAACACTAATAATGCCCCTTGTTAGTCATAAATTATGTGCCAATTTACTACATAAGTATTATTGACATCTTTCTTTATTGCTAAAATATCAAAGTTGGAGGTGGTTTTTAATTAAGTGAATGTTTTTGTTTACATTAGTTTAGTACATTTCTACATCAATACAAAATAAAAAACATGTTTATTGTATCATTCATTAAAGATGATTAATTTGGACCCTTTTTATTATGAAGGAAGAAACATAATTTGGATTATCACTTTTTAGTTCATCTTAAACCGTCTTATTAAGACCTATATTTAAGGTATTAACTCTTAATCTCTCACTAATTCCTATATTTAAAGTATTTTTTTGTTTCATATTATTGAATACCAATGAAAAAAATCACTAATTAAATCCATAACCCATAAATTTAATATATATAACCCATGCTTTTAAAATGACCTAAAGATGAAAGCATATTTTCTTCCAAGTAATAGGTAGTATTTCAATCAATATCGTCATCTTGGTGTTAACCATGCCAATAAGAAAATTTGAAGTTAAATATTTAAGTTGGAAGGTAGTAACTCTATTCATACACCAAACTTCAATTACTTTTTGCATTTCATATGTCTTATGAGGATACCCAAATTTATTATTGTTGTTGTCATCATCATTCATCATTTCAAAATAGTACTACTAATATGATTACGATTATGACAAAAGATATTAGTAATAGTAATAATAATAGTAATAATAATAATAATCATAGTAATAATAATAATAAGGGAAAACTCCCGATTAGTACCTTGTACTTTGGCTCGAGTGACAATTTGGTCTCTGAACTTTAAATGTGACAATCCAGTACCTTATGTAAACTAGTCCATTAGTCAACCATTAAGTGACATTTGAAAAGTCAAAAATTGCTTTCGAATACCATCTAATTCTCTTTATCAACCATCCAAACATTGGCAAAAAATTGGGCAGTCCCAAATCCTAACCTCTTCTATTCAAAAAATTGGTGATTGCTTAAAAAAATCTAAAATTTGGGACTGTTCATTTTATTGTCATTGTTTGGATGATTGATAAAGAGAATTAATGGCATTCTTAGGGCATTTTTTTACTTTTCAAATGTCATTTAATGTCTGATTAACAGACTAGTTAAGAGTAGGTACTGGGTTGTCACATTTTGAAAGTCTGGATACTGGATTGTCACATTTTGAAAGTTTGGGTGCCAAATTGCCGCATTTTCAAGTTCAGGGACGAAATTGTCACTCGAGCTAAAGTACAGGGTACTGATTCGGAATTTTCCCTAATAATAATAATAGTAATAATAATAATAATAATAACAATATATAAATCTATATTATTGTAATAAATTTAGTATGTTATATTTACATTAATTTATTATATATAAAAGCCGAAAAGTAATCAATTTTTTATATTTAAAAAATTAAAGCGGAGTTAGATTAAGCTCAAGTCTATTAGGATTTGAGTTGCAATTTGAGGTATTCAAATCCAATCAAGTTTTGATGCAAGTTTTTAACAATCGAACTGCTTTCAAATTTTGTTGAATTTAATCTATTTATAGGCCCTACAAAAAAGGGGGTTCTCTTGTATCCAATATTCATTCAAAAGTTTAACCTTATAACTATAATGTGACCATGTTTAGTGAAATATCTAGAGTTGTAAACAAAAGTTATAGAAGAAAACCATTTAGAATGCTTCCTAATTTCATCTATGTAATGACCTAAACACCAAGATATCAATGACTTGAATCCATTCAACACCTTTGGCATCACTTTTTCATAAAAAGCAAATATTAATTGTCGTCATCCTCTTTGAGAAGTAAATGACGAATCTACAAAACCATTATAAGCTCTGCCTCCATTGCCTCTTTTAACCAAACCTACTTTACCACATATAGCAACAAAAAACTTAAAAAATTATATTATAAACACAAAATTCCCAAGTTCCCTTCTTATAATTCGTAACACCCCCATCAAATATAATACAAGAACAATATGATGTGGTGAAGATAGAAGATTCAACCTATTATACACTGTTTTGTCACCATTGACATTAATATTTGGATTCAATATATTCGTTGTTCCATTAGTTATTTTTGGAACCCAATTATCATTTTTATTAATACTTTTAAAAACATTGTTTTTCCTATATTTTCATATATTAAATCTTGTTCTCTCTATTTAATGTATTTTTTCTCATTTAATAAAATTTTTAATTTATCTTTAAAAAATTTCTATTAATTAATTAGATCTATATAGTATACTTTTAATAATATATCTTCAAAAGCCCATTATTACCATTATTATCTTCTAAAATTGCCATGTGCAAAGCATGTGCACACTTACGAGTAATAAATAATAAAAAGAATAATAATAATAACAACATTTTGATGATTACTAGTGAGATCTATTAATGGTCAAATATCTGGACATGTCAGGGTAGTTTAACAAATTACTTGACTGGGTGATCATAGTGATAGGATCAACCCCTTTGTCAAACAAAGTAAATATCAAGGCTTACACTCTCTCTCATGGAAACTAAAAACAATCTAAGCCAGGAGTGTTTATATAATACATTACTATTTTATGGAAAATGATTGCAAAACGTTTTAATCCTACAATCTATCTAAGCCAGGAGTGTGACACTGCATTTTGTAGTTAGGGAGAGGTCCCCTACAAACAATGTTTTGATGATCATGGGCTAACATGCTAGGTGCAACCATTATAGGGTTGATTACCTGATGAATTTCATCTTACATAAGTCCATTGTCATTGGGTTTTCATAGGGTGGATGGATCTAGTGATCATTTATTTGTAAATGTTGGGTTCCACTACGCACAAGCTGATTCATTAGCTTCTAGAGGTAGAGTTGAATCCTTATGGACTTGTGTGAGAAATTTGTAGGTCCTACGCCATACAATGTTCAAGCCCACTTGGCCTTGCAACACATTGGAAATTAAGCCATTAAAGAAAATGGGCCTAAGGCCCATTTCTAATATGATTAGTTAAATAGGCACTTAAGTTGTCATGTGACATTGGGCGAATATGGGTCATTGATATGGGTATCGAGCATACATTCTTTAAATAAAATAGAGTTTATCCATAAGGATAAATCCTAATCCAAATCTGATTTAAATTCAGCTCCTATCCAAATTTTTCAGTCCCTAATTGTGCTTTTTGGAGAAAAAGATCAATCCTAGAAGACTCACATGCTACATTAATCCAGAAACTACATTGTTGAATCGGCTTAACTTCATTTTTGCACCATCTTCAGTAGGAGGCTAGTTCGGGTCTGACATTGGGCGTGAACTACCACTTTTAGAGTTACATTTGTAGACTCGATATTAGATATAATAAAAAATTAATTTGAGTTTTAAATCTAATCCAATTCAGATTGGATGTGGAAACCCCAAAATTTAGATTTCAAAATCATTAGTGTGGCTACCAACTCGGAGGGAGGATGGAATATAGATGGATGGAGTCAATGGAGTCACCACCTATATTTAAGGTATTAACTCTTAATCTTTCTCACTAAATCCTATATTTAAAGTTTTTTTTGTTTCATATTATTAAATACCAATAAAAAAATCACTAATTAAATCAATAACCTATAAATTTAATGTATATATATATATAAATAACCCATAAATTATATATATATTGAACTTAAACATTTAAGTTGAAAGGTAGTAACTTTATTTGTACACCAAACTTCAATTACTTTTTTGCATTACATATGTCTTATGAGAATACCCAAATTTTTTATTGTTATTATTGTTCTTATTGTTCTTATCATCATCATTCGTCATTATAGGGTTGATTACCTGATGGGCTTCATCTTACATAAATTCATTGTCATTGGGTCTTCATAGGGGTGGATGGATCCAGTGATCATTTATTTGTAAATTTTGGGTTCCACTACATACAAACCGATTCATTGCCCTTGGGTAATGAATTCGGCCTAACCTCTTCTAGAGGTGGAGCTGAATCCTTATGGACTTGTGTGAGAAATTGAGCCATTAAAGAAAATGGGCCTAAGGCCCATTTCTAATATGATTAGTTAAATAGACACTTAATTTATCATGTGACATTGAGCGAATATGGGTCATTGATATGGGTATCGAGCATACATTCTTTAAATAAAATAGAGTTTATCCATAAGGATAAATCCAATCCCAAATCTAATTTAAATTCAGTTCCTATCCATATTTTTCAGTCCCTAATTGTGCTTTTTGGAGAAAAACATCAATCCTAAGAAGGCACACATGCTACATCAATCCAGAAACTGCATTGTTGAATCGGCTTAATTTCATTTTTGCACCATCTTCAGTAGGAGGCCAGTTCGGGTCTGATATTGGGCGTGAACTACCACTTTTGGAGCTACATTTGTAGACTCGGTATTAAGTATAATAAAAAATTAATTTGAGTTTCAAATCTAATCCAATTCAGTGCCCGATCAACCCCGAAATTTAGATTTCAAAATCATTAGTGTGGCTAACAACTCAGAAGGAGGACGGCCTAATTCGACTATCCCATATTCAGATGATGTATTTACATAATCAGATCAGGTTTGGATCTAAGTCCATCAAATCTATATTATTGTAATAATTTTAGTATGTCATATTTACATTAATTTATTATATATAAAAGCTGAAAATTAATCAAATTTTTATATTTAAAAAATTAAAACGAAGTTAGATTAAGTTCGAGTCTATTAGGATTTGAGTTGTAAATAAAAATTTAACCTTATAACTATAATATGACCATTTTTAGTGAAAGATCTAGAGTTGTAAACAAAAGTTATAGAAGAAAACCATTTAGAATGCTTCCTAATTTTATTTATGTAATGGCCTAAATACCAAGATATT